CGTAAGTCGAGGACTTTCCCTGCCCGGGAGCGCCACGCATGCGTGGTTCCGCCCCCTGCGCCGGCCGAGGCGTAGCTGGCAAGCGGCAGAGACGGAGCAGGCCGACCACCAGCTGGCCCAGCCCAAGGGAGGTAAGGCACCCGCCGGAAAAGGGGAAAAAAATGGCGGACAGCCTTGCTTGGCGACCCCCATGAAATGGCCGATCGACCCCAAATGGGGTCCCAACCCACAGGTTGAGAACCACTGGTTTAGGCCTTCCTTTGCAAATATAAAGTATCCCTGGGAACTCAAAACGCTCTTTATCCAAGGAAAAGACAACAGGATCTTTTGCCCACCTTGAGACAGCCATAACCTAATTCGTCCCGTGCGCTTATATTTCCGTTATGGTCCACAGGAGCCTCACAGTCTATGAATTCTTCAGGTCTGCATATGAATCAAAAACTTGAGTTCAGATTCGAGAAACCACTCTGGAAAGTTGCATTTCTGATACAATTAGTTGGTGACTGACAACCACAACTCAGGGCAAAATTTTCTATGGCTAAGCGAGACAGTGTGTTGCGCCCCCTTTTACATTGAATCATTGCAGTTAAGTTAGTGACATGGTTATTAAGTGAATTTTGGCTTCTCCATTGACTTTGCTTGTCAGAAGGTCGCCAAAAGGATTCACACGACTCCGGGACAATGCAACCGGCATAAGTACATGCCAGTTGCCAAGTGTCCGAATTTTTATCATGTGACCACGGGGATATTGCAATAGTGATTTAAGTGTGAAAACTGTTCTTAAGTCACTTTTTTTCAGTGCCGTTGTAACTTCGAACAGTGCCTAAACGAACGGTTGTATGTTGAAGGACTACCTGAACTGCATTTAATTCAAACTCAGAGCCCAGCGGCAAACACTGTGTGCAGAATGGTTACCGATTATAATAAAGTAGTAGTAATATACATACATATATACATATACATATAAAAAGAAATGTCGTAAAATGGGCCAAAATTCACTTAACAAGCATTTCACTTAAGAACTGGAATTTTGGCCTCCACTGAGGTCGTAAGTCGAGGATTACCTGAACTCCATGCCAGGAAGGAGGGTTTTTGTGTGTGTGTGTGTGTGTGTGTGTGCTTGTGCTAGCCATGTTTAATCTAAGGCTGGCTGGAAATGCACCCGAGATGCAATACGGGACCCTGCCCCGAACAGGGAGGCCAGTCTAGATGGCCTCTAGGAGCCCATGATTCTCTGGGAGGGCTTCCTGGGGGGGGGGAAGAGGCGCGTCGCCCACCCAGAAGTGCTGAGAGTTCCCCTCTGCAACGCCTGGGGCCAGCCAGCCTTATCCCCCCCACCCCAATTCTGCAGGACCCATTTTTTTTTTTTTAAAGAAAAAAACGCTTTTCGACCCCCCCTCAAGTTCAACAGCCCGTTCCTTCGCTCCTCCCCTCGCGGCCGAGGCCCCGCCCACCCGTCCTCACAGGCGGTCGCAGAGAATCAGCGGCGCGTACGGGCCTTGGTATTCCCAGACGGAGGCGGTGGCTGCGTGAGGCGGCCGCTGCTGCCCCTCTGCCTCGTGCGCGGCGGCGCCGGCGGCGGGGCTCTCGGTGGCGTTGTGCTGGTGGGTCCGGGAGACCCCCTGCAGCAGGAGCAGGTTGCCCAGCAGCAGCGCCGCCTGGCCACACAGCAGCGCGTAACAAATCGGTCCCCCGGCCGCCATAGCGGAGACGGCGCCCTCCCGACTTCCGGCGAGGCCGGAAGTACTTCACCCTGGCGCCCTTCCGCCAATCGCGAAGCAGTTCCTCTGAAAAGGGCGGGCTGTGGCCGCGGCTCTGTCCAATCAAAAGGCGAGGCTGGTCAAGCAGCGTCGTCGTCGTCGTCGTCGTCGCCGTATATCAGGGGAGGTCTTCAAACTGGGCCCCTTTTGTGACTTGTGGACTTCAACTCCCAGAATTCCTCAGCCAAGTCATAAAAGGGCCAAGTTTGAAGACCCTTGATCAAGAGCAGGGGTAGTCAACCTTGGCTCTTTTATGACTCGTGGACTTCAACTCCCAGAATTCCTGAGCCAGCATGAGGGAAACTTTGGCCCCTTCATGACTCGTGGACTTCAACTCCCAGAATTCCTCAGCCAAGTCATAAAAGGGCCAAGGTTGACTACCCCTGATCAAGAGTCTCTTTCAGCCATCGCTCCTCCTACTTTCTCGAACGCAGCCCCGATTGGCCACAAGGCTGCTCCCGGCGTCCAATAAGGAAAAGCGGTAAAAGAAGAACGGCGCTTCTCAGCCTGGCCGACAGGTGGCAGCAGCGGCTGCCACTTCCTGGAGAAGAAACAAGGTCGTGATTTATTCAAATTATGGAATTGCAGAACACGTGGAAACAATGCCTGGTGTGATGGGCTATGTTGTGCAAATAAACCCTCACGTTTGGCTTACGCCCAGAAAATTATGTTAAAAGCCAGTGTTTTTCAAACTTGGTGACTTTACGATATGTGGACTTCAATTCCCAGAATTCCCCATGCTGGCAAGGAATTCTGGGACTAAAGCAGTGGTGGGATTCAGCCAGTTTGCACCAGTTCGATAGAACCAGTAGCCAATTTTTTTGTTGCCCAGGCCCAGAATGGACTTCTGGAAGCAGCATCCACACAGAGAACCGGTTGTTCATATATTTGAATCCCACCACTGGATTAAAGTCCACCCCTCTTAAAAATTGTCAAGTTTGAAAAACACGGAGTTAGCTTAAACTAAAAAAGGATGTATTATAGCTGGTGCAGCATTCATAATTGGACAAGGTTCCTTCTTGGCAGTGAGAAGTTGATCAGCACGTATCAAGAATCAGCTGGGAGATCTCAAGGCTTAATGGTAGGCGCCAGCTATTTTATTGATGAACGATAAAGAAATGAAATTTTGGGTACCCAAAAGGGCATCCGTTGNTTCCCTCCAGAAGTTGTGGGTGCTCCATCCCTGGAGGCTTTTAAGAAGAGACCGGGCAGCCACTTGTCTGAGACGATATATAGGGTCTCCTGCTTGAGCAGGGGGTTGGACTAGAAGACCTCCAAGGTCCCTTCCAACTCTGATATGCTAAGCCAGCCCTCTAAGCCGCCGGGTGGTGGTGGTGATGTGGGGGGGGGGGAAGAGCGGTGTAGTTAAAAAAGTCGTGAGGTTGGATGCAACTCATTGAACAGCCATCTAATTTAGCAATCAAAATTCTGGTCTCAATTCTGGTTGCAACTCACGGATTACCTGTAGTGTCTAGTTCTGCCGTACGATCCGAATTGTGTATTGACTCTTCTTGTCGTGAAAAAGTTGCATTCAAACCTGTCAAATGGAAGGGTCTCTGATGGAACCTAAAACGAAGGAGAAATTTCCTAACCGCGAGAACAACCAACGCCTTGCCTTCAGAAGTTGTCGGCGTTTGATCCCTGGAGGCTTTTAAGAAGAGAGCGGACGGGCCACCTGTCTGAAATGGTACAGGATCTCCTTGCTTGAGCAGGGGGGCTGGACTAGAAGACCTCCAAGGTCCCTTCCAAGTTTGCTATTCTATTATTCTGTATTCACGGAACATGCCGACCCCCAATAATGATTCTTATGTTTATATTTAGAGAGTTGTGTGAATTCTCTCTGGGTGGTTTTAAACCACAGCTTACAGAACAAGGTAAATCCAGCCAATAGGGATTTATTCAGTTAGCCTGGGTTAAGCACAGACTGCTTAGTATACTATGTTTCATTCTGTTCATTGAAGTTCATTGAGGCTTTTAAGAAGAGAGCGGACGGGCCACCTGTCTGAAATGGTACAGGATCTCCTGCTTGAGCAGGGGGGGCTGGACTAGAAGACCTCCAAGGACCCTTCCAACTCTGATAGCCTAAGCCAGCCTTCTAAGCCGCCGGGGTGGGGGTGGGGGTGACGGGGGGGGGTGTAGAAGCGGTGTCACCGACTCCTCCCCGGGGGGAGGTCCCGGGACGGGGAGGCCCGCCTCGCAGCCTCCATAGCCGGAGCTCCGGTCCGTCGGCGGGGATGCGGACAGCTGCGGGCGCCCGCGGCTTTCTGCGGCTGCTGCTGCTTTGGCCGGCGCTGAGCATCCCGGCCGAGCAGCCCGGTGAGTCCCCGCGCCGGGTCCTGCAGCCGGGCAAGCCCCCCGGGATGGCCCGTCTCCCGGCTGGCCGAGCCCGGCGCTGCCACCTTCGGGCAGGTGGGGAGGGATAGCCGGGCCGAGCCGAGCCGAGCCGAGCCGGGAGGGGGCGGTGGGCTTCCCCGCAGGGCGCCCCGAGGGGCGGGCGAAGCAAGCCGCGGGAAGGGGGGGAGAGCCGAGGGGAGCCCCCGGGTGCGCGCCCCGGTCCCGGCTGGGCGGAGGATGCTCTGCCCGGGGATGCCGAGCGGACGGGACGGGGAAAAGGCCGGCCGCGAACGCCTCGCCTCGGCCCGAAGAGCCCCCAACTGGGCTGGGAGGCTCGGCGGAGGCCGCCCCGCTCTCTTCCAGCCCGGCTTTTATTTTTTTTTGGGGGGGGGGAGCCGGGGCTGGAACCCCCCCCCTCGGAACCGCTTCCCCGGCTGCATTTTGGCCCGGGAGAAGGCGGGTTCGGAGGAGCCCCCTTTGGTCTGGCGCCGCGCTTGAGGCCAGGGACGGAGGCGGATCGGGGTTCCCCCCCGACCCCGTGTGAACGCGGCGCGGGGTCCTCGGGGCCAAAGCGGCCTAGGAGCGCGATTGAGAGGGCGGGCGGAGNTTCCCTCCAGAAGTTGTGGGTGCTCCATCCCTGGAGGCTTTTAAGAAGAGACCGGGCAGCCACTTGTCTGAGACGATATATAGGGTCTCCTGCTTGAGCAGGGGGTTGGACTAGAAGACCTCCAAGGTCCCTTCCAACTCTGATATGCTAAGCCAGCCCTCTAAGCCGCCGGGTGGTGGTGGTGATGTGGGGGGGGGGGGAAGAGCGGTGTAGTTAAAAAAGTCGTGAGGTTGGATGCAACTCATTGAACAGCCATCTAATTTAGCAATCAAAATTCTGGTCTCAATTCTGGTTGCAACTCACGGATTACCTGTAGTGTCTAGTTCTGCCGTACGATCCGAATTGTGTATTGACTCTTCTTGTCGTGAAAAAGTTGCATTCAAACCTGTCAAATGGAAGGGTCTCTGATGGAACCTAAAACGAAGGAGAAATTTCCTAACCGCGAGAACAACCAACGCCTTGCCTTCAGAAGTTGTCGGTGTTTGATCCCTGGAGGCTTTTAAGAAGAGAGCGGACGGGCCACCTGTCTGAAATGGTACAGGATCTCCTGCTTGAGCAGGGGAGGGCTGGACTAGAAGACCTCCAAGGTCCCTTCCAAGTTTGCTATTCTATTATTCTGTATTCACGGAACATGCCGACCCCCAATAATGATTCTTATGTTTATATTTAGAGAGTTGTGTGAATTCTCTCTGGGTGGTTTTAAACCACAGCTTACAGAACAAGGTAAATCCAGCCAATAGTGATTTATTCAGTTAGCCTTGGTTAAGCACAGACTGCTTAGTATACTATGTTTCATTCTGTTCATTGAAGTTCATTGAGGCTTTTAAGAAGAGAGCGGACGGGCCACCTGTCTGAAATGGTACAGGATCTCCTTGCTTGAGCAGGGGGGCTGGACTAGAAGACCTCCAAGGTCCCTTCCAAGTTTGCTATTCTATTATTCTGTATTCACGGAACATGCCGACCCCCAATAATGATTCTTATGTTGTGTGAATTCTCAGAACAAGCGGACGGGCCACCTGTCTGAAATGGTACAGGATCTCCTGCTTGAGCAGGGGGGCTGGACTAGAAGACCTCCAAGGACCCTTCCAACTCTGATAGGCTAAGCCAGCCTTCTAAGCCGCCGGGGTGGGGGTGGGGGTGACGGGGGGGGGGTGTGTAGAAGCGGTGTCACCGACTCCTCCCCGGGGGGAGGTCCCGGGACGGGGAGGCCCGCCTCGCAGCCTCCATAGCCGGAGCTCCGGTCCGTCGGCCGGGATGCGGACAGCTGCGGGCGCCCGCGCCTTTCGGCTGCGGCTGCTGCTGCTGCTGCTGCTTTGCCCGGCGCTGAGCATCCCGGCCGAGCAGCCCGGTGAGTCCCCGCGCCGGGTCCTACAGCCGGGCAAGCCTCCCGGGATGGCCCGTCTCCCGGCTGGCCGAGCCCGGCGCTGCCACCTTCGGGCAGGTGGGGAGGGATAGCCGGGCCGAGCCGAGCCGGGCCGGGAGGGGGCGGTGGGCTTCCCCGCAGGGCGCCCCGAGGGGCGGGCGAAGCAAGCCGCGGGAAGGGGGGGAGAGCCGAGGGGAGCCCCCGGGTGAGCGCCCCGGTCCCGGCTGGGCGGAGGATGCTCTGCCCGGGGATGCCGAGCGGAGGGGACGGGGAAAAGGCCGGCCGCGAACGCCTCGCCTCGGCCCGAAGAGCCCCCAACTGGGCTGGGAGGCTCGGCGGAGGCCGCCCCGCTCTCTTCCAGCCCGGCTTTTATTTATTTTTTTTGGGGGGGGGGAGCCGGGGCTGGAACCCCCCCCCCTCGGAACCGCTTCCCCGGCTGCATTTTGGCCCGGGAGAAGGCGGGTTCGGAGGAGCCCCCTTTGGTCTGGCGCCGCGCTTGAGGCCAGGGACGGAGGCGGATCGGGTTTCCCCCCCCCCACCCCGTGTGAACGCGGCGCGGGGTCCTCGGGGCCAAAGCGGCCCAGGAGCGCGATTGAGAGGGCGGGCGGAGGGGGGGGGCGGTAGGGTTGCCAGGCGTCCACTATTTGAGCGGACGGTCCGCTTTTCTCACATTATGTTCGCTATTTATTTATTTTTTCCCCACAAAATAGCGGACATTTTTTTTTTTTTATTCAAAAGCTTTAGGAGGAAACGGTACGTCATCTAAAGCTGTACAGTCTACTTTTTTTTTACTACTTAACACACACACACCCCGCCCCGCTTGTCCGCTATTTTTTGGGAAGCAAACCTGGCAACCCTAGCGGGGGTGGGGGGGCGTTGAGCCAGATTGCAGCTGCTCCATTTGCAGGGAATGGATTTACGGGGGCATCTCTATATCTAAACCGATCCATCCAATCTTTTGAGTAAGTGAAGGGCGTTGGAAAAGGTTTGTGTATCAAGAACACATGCCACACACACACACACACACACACACACACACACACACACACATGCACTCGCCATGACTGAAAGGGAGAGTCAAAGTCTGCACCTTGTAATAGCGTGCTGGCTGGAGAATTGTGGGGGGTTGAAGTCCACCCATCTTCAAGCATTCACCGCTTCTGGGGGCAAGGAGTTCCACTGGTTAATTGTTCTCACTGTCAGGAAGTTTCTCCTTAGTTCTAGGTTGCTTCTCTCCTGGATTAGTTTCTACCCGTTGCTTCTTGTCCTGCCTTCAGGCGCCTTGGAGGATAGCTTGACTCCCTCTTCTTTGGGGCAGCCCCTGAGATATTGGAACACTGCTATCATGTCCCCCCTCGTCCTTCTCTTCATTAAACTAGACATACCCAATTCAAGCAACCGTTCCTCTTTTTTTTTTTTTTGTACACGGTGACAGAGGCCTAAAGCGAAAAGGTTTTATAAAACCCAGCTGAAGGCCTAGGACTGGGGTGACGGCGCATGTGCCCACAGAGAGGGCTCTGAGTGCCGCCTCTGGCGCCCGTGCCATAGGTTTGCCACCACTGCCCTAGAGGGTTAAACTGCATGCATGCTTAAATGGATTATAAACCACATTTGACACAAAGTATGGCTTAGCGTGTAGGACACACAAATATTTGTAGTACATGTTAATATTTGAGGGCTTCCTATAAAGACGAGGGGGGTCAACTTATTTCCCAAAGCACCAAAAGGCAAGACAAAAAACAATGGATGGAAACTATTCAAGGAGAGAAGCAACCTGGAATTAAGGAGAAATTTCTTCGCAGTGAGAACAATTAACCAGCGGAACAATTTGCCTTCAGAAGTTGTGGGTGCTCCATCACTGGAGGTTTTTAAGAAGAGGCTGGACAATCACTTGTGTGAGATGATATAGGTTCTCCTGTTTGAGGAGGGGTTATACTAGAAGACCCCCAAGGTCCCTTCTCACACTATTATTATTATTATTACAGTATCCATGGCTGTGTTGTAAAATTGGACTATATTTCCATATTGAAGTGGTATGCTAAGTAAGAGGCATCTGGAGGATGTTTCTGCACGTTTTTGTGACGAGGGATTGTGCTAAATTTCCACGATAATCTGTCCTCACACAAAAGGCACACTGTACTCTCAAGGAGACTTTATTTATGCTGCCTCTCAACAGAGATAACATGTCCATTTTTAGAGGGAATGAATCCCGAATTCCCAGATTTCTCAAAAAACAAAAAGTTGGCCGTTCAAAGTAGTTCTAACATGTTTTTTTATTTTTATTTTTGTTGCAGTAATATTTTCTTTTTTCTTAAAGATCTTTCCTATTTTGAAGCTCGTTTTCTACCAGCGGAGCATTTTTGAGGGCCACACTTAGTGAGCAATCATTTTGTTTTCTTCTTGTTTTGTGGTGTGTTGCAAAAAAGTGAAATGGGGACAGCTGTGTAGCTTTTACAAAAACAACAACACTGTATCGATATATTACTAAATCTCTCCAATCTGTGCTATAATTCAGCGAAATAGTGCATCATAAATAATTTTTTGAACCAACGTATCTGAAATGGGCTAACTTACACAATGTGTCCAGAATCTGGCTCAGCTTGGAAATCTCTCCCTTTCCCCTCAGCATGGCTGGCTCAGGAATTCTGGGAGTTGAAGTCCACGAGTCATAAAAGATCCAAGGTTCCCCACCCCTGGACTAGAGGACCACCAAGGTCTCGTTCAACCCTATTATTCTATCTTCTATTTATCTTGCAAGCTCCGATCTCCCAGCGATTTAAAAGCCAGAGCATTCGCTTTACAAACTAACATGTCTTCTTCTGTTACAGGTTTTCAGCCACTTTCGCATCTGTCTGCCTACGAAATTACGGTCCCCAAGAGGATAGAACGAGAACGGCGAGAAGCCCAGGCACAAAATATGGTATTTAAGCATGAGGGAACTTCTATAACTAAATTAAGGAATTAATGGGAGTGTTGTGCATGGAGGGGAAAAAAACGACTTTGTGTCTAGTTGTTCTGGGGTGCAAGGCCCTATAGTGTAGTTTTGAGGATAGAAGTTGAAACAGTTTATGCCCAGGATGTGAGGGGTCTTCCACATAAAGATGTATAAAATACTCCCCCCCAAGAATATATATCAGAGACACAGAAGATATGAAATATTTATTAAATATTGCTGCTTGACTCCCATTGCTCATTTGTTTAGGACTGGGTCACCAAGTATGATTGAAACACCCACTAATATGGCTTTCTCCCTCCATGTTTCAGGACGGGTTGTCGTTCAGTCTTGTAATTGAAAGAAAATCGTATATAATTCATCTACAAAGGAACAAGTAAGTGCTTCCGTTCTGGCTGAATGTCCATGAAGATTCTCAGTCATCCATGTCATAATTGCCTCAAAGCTGCTCCTTCTTCCTTAAAATTTTGCCCTACGGATGAACTGATACAGAAACCTAGGAAGAAGGACAGATCTTGATTTACATTGAAAATCCCATGTATGTCACCTCAGTTGAGTTCAGCTGAGTTACTCCATTGAGTTTAGTTGGAATTGCTGCCTAGTAAGCATTTACAGCTTTGTAGTAATAAGGATATGATCAGTGCTGCAGAGAAAACCCAAATATGATCATTGTTGCTCTTTGTTAGAGCCCTTGATCATAATACACTTTAAGTTTTATATATTGGTCATTGATTTTGAATACTGAGGAAGATTGGCATCATGTTTACATTCTGAGTGTTTTGGTACACTTCATGTATTTCCTAGAGGGTGAGATACGGGCAACCATATGTCACCTTGCAAGGCTATCTCTAAAGCAGGGGTCTTTCAAACTTGGCAACTTTAAGACTTGTGGACTTCAACTCCCAGAATTCCTCAGCCAGCTGCCTGGCTGAGGAATTCTGGGAGTTGAAGTCCACAAGTCATAAAAGGGCCAAGTTTGAAGACCCTTGATCTATGTCAGGGCTTTTCAACCTTTTCACCCATTGTACCACTTTTAGGATATGGCAACATCCGAGTACCACCAGTCGCCTAGCAAGGTGTCAAAAACTTGATGACCAAAAAAAAAAAAAAAGGAAAAAACTGATAAAGTACAGGTAGTCCTCAACCTACAACAGTTCGCTTAGTGACTGTTCGAAGTTACAATGGCACTGAAAAAAGTGCCCCCCAAGCCATAGCCAAGCAAGACACCTGCCTGCCCGCCCAGCGGCGCTCTTCCTCCTGTCTGAGGTTTCCATTGTTGTGAGCATTTCTGTTGAGGATTGGCAGCGGGGGTGGGGGTGGGGGGGTGTTTGGTTTTCATCCCCCCCGTCTGCTGGGTGGTTGCAGCAGGTTTTGGTCACTTCACATGACCCTGGGACACTGTGACCGTCATAAATATGAATCAGTTGCCAAGCATCTGAATGTAAATCACGAGACCTTGGAGATGCTGCAACATTCCAGCTGATCGGCGCTTCTTCTGGGCTCAGCAGAAGCACCAGGATCAGCGCCGAGCTCCAGCTGGAGCCTGGTGCTGATCCTGGCGCTTCCACTGAGCCTTGACAGTCTCGAAGAAGCACCGATCCTGGCGCTTCCACTGAGCCCTGACAGCCCTGCAGCTCCAGCCATCTCTCGCTCAGGCTTGTGCGGTGCTGCCACCGGTTCAGCTCATTCCCCTCCCCCGCTACTACTTTTCTAGGATGCTCGCCTGCCAGGTGCCAATGTACCACAGGTGGTACCCGTACCACTGGTTGAAAAGCCCTGACCTATGTTATGTTCTAAGACTGGCAGTACAAGAGCCACTACAGTGTAACCTGATCGGATTTCCCTGTCTGTCACTTTGACTTCTCC